TTCCATCAGTGTATCCAAGTGTCTTTGATAGAGTTTTAATTTGTATTCACTAATTTGTTGTTGTTAGGTGCCCACAAGTCGATTCTGGCTGGTAGTGATACCATGTGACAGGGTAGAACTGCCCCATAGGGTTTTCTAGGCTGTAATCTTTATGGGAGCAGATCAGCAGGTCTTGAGTTTGAAGCACCAACCTTTCCTCTAGCAGCTGAGGGTTTAACCCAGCACCACCAAGGCTCCTTATTCATTAATTTACGGATACTAAATCCTCAGTATGCTTACATTTTATTCTGTTATAGACATGGTGATTTCAATGGGAATTGTTTTTAATTTTTCCCTTCAAACTTCCTGATTAATCAATTTTCTTTGAATTTGAATGTTTTTATTTAGTCATGTTTCCAACATACATTTTTATGTACATACATAGACATGAATATCCTATCTTGATGTTTAATTTTCCCTTTTGTTAGTTGCCATCAAGTTAATTCAGTCTTATGGCAACCCCGTGTGTTACAGAGTAGAACTACCCCCTAGGGTTTCCAAGGAGCGCGTGGTGGATTCGAACTGCTGACCTTTTGGTTAGTAGCAGAACTCTTAACTACTACGCTTTTAAATTAGCCAGTAGTCGCTAAGCTCATGAAATAGTGTGCTCCTCCCCTTGTACCCTATTAAAGGCTGAACCCAGGTGTATTCATGCTCTCTGTGCTTCTCCCCTTCTTCAGGACTCCTATGAATCTGTGTTTGGCCTTCAAGTATGCTTACTTTTAGGCCCTGCGAATGACAAACAGCTCTGAGTTTTGGGTGTTGAATGTTAAACTGCAGCTTTGTGTAACAAAAGAAACCCCCAACTATTTCCACACAGGTGATCCCTCCAGGTGACACCCTCTGGGTGGCTGTGTGTTTCCTCCTGCAGTGGGCTGTCATTTACCTCTTCATATTTGTCTAATATTAACACAGGCCCCAGCTCTCTAATCCCATGGTGAGTCTTTCTGGCATGACCAGCTTCCACTCTGTGTCTCCTCTTTAGTATAAACTATCAGGTGAGGACCAAGGGCCCCACCACGAATCACAAAGGCAGTGCTATCACTCTGGAAATTCCAGTGGTTTAGAGGTTCCCTCCCGGGAGCCAGGACAAAGGCCAGGACTCTCTTTGTTATTGTTGTTAGTTGCCATTGAGTCCATTCTGACTCATGGTGACCCCATGTGTGCAGAGTAGAACTGCTCCATAGAGTTTTCAAGGATGTGACCTTTTGTAAGCAGATCGCCAGGCCTGTCTTCTGTGGCGCCTCTGAGTGGGTTCATACTGGCCACCTTTTGGCTAGTAGTTGAGCATTTAACTTTGTCACCCAGCTGCCCTAGAGCTCTCTTTAGGTGAGATCTAATTCTTTACTATAGAAGTAGGGTTTAAATATGTCCATTGTAGTAAAATACTGAGAAAAACATGAACAGAAAATGATAATGAAAACCCAGCCAGAAAATCCGTCATTTAAAGAAAGCAGTTCTCAACTTAGTTAACTATACTGTTGGTGTGTATGCATTGTAGGTTTCTATAAAAGACATATTATCATTTCATGAATTAGTTGTACATATTTTTCCCATGGCCTTAAATATGTTTACACTATCATGTTAATAAGGAGCCCTGGTGGTGGGCTGGTTAAGAGCTCAGCTGCTAACCAGGAGGTTGACAGTTTAACCCACCTAGCTGTTCTGTGGGAGAAAGATCTGGAAATCTGCTTCCCTAAGGATTACAGCATAGAAAACCTTATGGAGCAGTTCTACTCTGTCATATGGGGTCACTAGGAGTCAGAATCAACTTGACCGCAGCTAACAGTAACACCATTATCCTGTCAATAAGTAGTAGAAATAGTAACTAATTATGTATACAGTTATGTGTGTTTATATAATGACCTTTTAACTAATTCTTTGTTGTTGGTTTTAACTTGTTTCAAGTTTTCTCAGGAAGCCCTCAGCCAGTGTCCTTTCCATGGTGTCTATTTTACTTGCCGCCTTTTTGATTCTTTGGATTCAGTTCTAGAACCCAACCACCTGCATCCTGCCATTTATTAAGATGTTTGAACCAAGGCATGTTAGAGTCTGTGACATAGTTTTGTTTCTCTCTCCAGTGAGAACAGATCCTTTCTGTTATGAACACAAAGTTCGATCCTATAACTTTTCTTTAAAGCCTCTTATTGACTCTTTGTCATCCACAATTACATGGATAGTTTCTCTGGTTCATCTGAAAAATTGTACGTTGCTTGGTGGATAGAACATTATGTTTATCACTTGGTTAAAGAAAACCACTTGTTGAAGTGTTTTTAATTTGAATATTTCTTTTATCATCCACAGAAATATAAGATCTGCAGTGGGTCTCATCCTCACTACCCCTTAAGCAATAACTCCCCATTCTCTCTTCCCCTTAGTCTCTGGTAGCAACTAATAAACTTTAGTTTTTATGCTTTAATCATAGATTAAAATTAGATAGGTATAACTTGGTGAAGTTATAAGGACCTAGCCGTACCCTTACCTCAGTCAAAACTGATTCATGTGTCTCTTGCCTCCCCTCATATTGTGTGAAAATAAGAACAGTCCTCCCCCCCACCACACTGTTGACCCTTGGAGAAATGTGTGTTTCATGTTAGCTGCCACTGATATACAAGGATTTGTCCCCTGAAGGAGTGGATGTGCTTGTGTCCTGCTGATGGGGCTTTGTAAATGGACATAATGTTCATGAAGTACAGGAACCTGGTCTACCTGGGTAAGGTAGAAGTCAGGACCTGCCCTGGGATGGCTTTGCATTTTCCATTGTGAGTCTCTTGAGAGCCCCTGCCTTTCTAGACTGAGTTTCCCTTCCCTTCTTTATGGGAATGATTGAGGCTTTGTGGATTCAGAACTGAAGAGCTTCATAGTGTGCCATCTGCACTTTGACCTTTCTTTTCCTTCAAATGATCTGCCCTGAGTTGATGGTGGTTCCAGAACTCGAGTGTGCATAAACCCTGTGGCCAGCATTGCACACATCCAGTGTCCTGCTTACTCCCCTGTAGTTTTCATTTCGTAGCCCCTAGACAAATGTTTAGAGGTCTGCACCTTTAAAATGGTCCCTAGGCGTTTAGAAGCAAGAGGGCAGTGGCTCCTTTAAAAAAAAAAAAAAAAATTGTGGTCAAATATATGTAACTAAAATTTTTGCCATTTTCACCATTCTTAAGTGTATAGTTCAGTGACATTAAATACACTAATAAAGTGCAACCATCTCCACCATCTCATTCCAAAACTTTTTCATCATTTGAAACAGGAACTCAGTACCCCTTGAGCAATAACTCCCAATTCCCTCCTCCCTGAGTCCCTGGTAGCCGCTAACAAACTTCGGTCTCTATGCTTTTCCCTCTTCTACTTATTTCATGTAAGTTATATAATATTTGTTCTGTTGTGTCTCACTGATTTCACTTAGCATAATGTTTTCAGGGTTCATCCATCATAATCCCACTGCCATGGAATCAGTTCCAACTCATTTCTACCCTAGATGACAGAGTAGAACTGCCCCATAGGGTTTCCAAGGCTGTAAATCTTTATGGAAGCAGACTGCCACATCTTTCTGTGGCGGACTGGCTGTTGGGTGGGAACCACTGACTTTTTGATTAGTAGCCGAGCACTTTAACCATTGTGCCATTAGGTCTCCTCCATTATAATAAAGGTAACTGTTTGACATACATCTTACCAGTAACATAGACGAAGTCACTGGGTCTCATCCTTTCCCATGTAAACAACGCAAACTTAAGAAGGATAAAATAGGCTTTGCCCTCATCCTTCAGTCTTACTCTTTCCCATACAGCAGCCACCTGCCACAGTGAGAATGCAGGCATTTGGTGATGGAGGCAGAGCAGGCAGGAAGCAGGAGCCTGGGCCACTGATCACAGGGCACCTGTCACATCCTGCACTGTAACCTCTGGACTTGTTGTTATAGGAGGAGATAAAATGATAAAAGTCGTACTTGTTTTTTTTTTCCTGGGGTCACTGGAGTGGCATCTACCTTAGGTGATAAGCCTCACACAGGCCAGACGCTGAAGCCAGCCAGGGGATGGGGAGCACAGACAGGGCTGGTGGGCGGGCTGGGAGAGGACATCCGTGATAGAATATTCCTTCCTTCAGTTACAGGCTCCAGAGCAGTGAGTGTTTGGATGTGGATACCCCAGGGTAAATTGTGAAAATGTGGATTTTTATCTTGGGTTGGGATTGAGATTCTCTATATCAAACAAGCTCCCAGTTTATGGTGAAAATAACCATTATAGAAATGGATGTGAGTTAAAACCAGAGAATGCTGTTAGAGAAATTAATAACAGGATGGATAATGCTTGAAGAGCAGCCACTGGTATACAGATCATGAGGGAGAGAAGAGAAAGAGAAAATGTTTACACGGAGACCAAGGAATAAACAGTAGACATCAGCTGGGTAGGGTGGAGGGGAGGAAACAAACCGGAAGAGAAGTGGGGGGCTGCTCCTTAGAGAAAACTTAGTGATTTTCTGATTTATTGGTTGATCGCTTATTGTGAGGTTGAAAGAGAATATTTCCAGTACTGGAAAGACTGGTGGTGTCATGGATAGAGAGTGAAGGAAAAAAAAGAAAAACTAAAAAACTCAAGGCGAAGAAAGAAATGTTAGTTGCAAAATCAAGAGGAAAAATACTGATGACATATTACCATGGTATAGATGAAATCAAAGTTTTAAAAAAACAAAGCACAACGGAAGAGTTTCAACTGCACATAGTTAGAAATCAATGACGCATGATGGGTTCATTGGCTTGAATTTAAAAATATATTCTCCTGAAAATCCACTAACGTTGATATCAAAGTGTGTGGGCTGTTCTACAAAGGTGAACCTTTAACTTTACAGGTGAACCCTCAACCTAAGCTTTGGACTCCTGACACCATGGAGGAAGCCAGGTTCACGTGTTCCAATCTGGGCAGGCCTGGATGCCTCTTGTGCTCTGGGATGAGGAAGCACCTCCTTCTGTGACATTGTGGCCAGAGAAAGAGGCCTGTGAAGCTTCATCAAGAATGCAAGTGTGTGCTCTGGAAGGCTGGAGCAGGATCTGCCTTAAGTGCAAAGGCCCTCAGAGTGGAGCATGGCCTTGAGCCTGGAGGGAGGCCCTGTCCAGGGAAAGAGCTGAAGCCAAGAACCTGTCACTTCCTCCTTACTCACCACTGTCTCCTTTTTCTATTTCAGGTCCCAGGTGTGCCACAGGGAGAGTTAGTCCTGCCTAGGCAGCTGGGGACCAAGGGCACCCTTCTTGCACATCTATGCAATCACAAGTAAGGATTTTAACTGCTCTGACTGGTGTGTGGACCAGACATCATTCATCTGCCTCCAAACTGCCTAATAGCCCTGCTTCCCCAGCCATCCCTCTTCCTGAAGTGGCTTCTTGGGCTTAGAGAGCACATTCACTTAGACTTCCAGAAGCTGAAGCCAGAAAATGGTGCGTACTACAGAGAACTGGGGTACTGTTACTCTAAGGGGTGAGGCTGGATATGAATTATTGGAGTAGTGTGAGTTCCAGGCCTTGAGGTTCCTCAGTGAGGTAAATAGGTGGCAAAGGAGACGATGGAGCTGAGCCCTAAGAGGCATCCTGGTGCCCTGCTCCTCTGTCATTGGGTCCTCCGTCTACACACGTGGGTTTTCAAGCCTTGGATGCTTGGGGCCACATTCCTTCTGTGACTGTAATGCATCATGGGCATTAACATCACTGTTCTGGGCCTTGGTTCTCTCTGTTGAATCACAGAACCTCCTGACCAGAGTCTGAAGACGGAGCAGCTCTGGCTCAGGAGACCGAGCCCCAGATCCTCCAGAGCCATCCTTGTTCCATCCCTACACACAGTTTTCGTGGCCTCATCGGAGCGCTGGAGCCTTTTCTGTGCAGTTGTATAACTGTGGCTCCCCTCTCACACTGCAATGTGGTGGAAAACAGGGAGAGAGTTGGTAGCGGAAGGCCCTGTTAATGGGGTCCTGGTTAGGGCTTGGTCCTCTCATGAAGTCACCAGTGAAATGAGGCAAAATTCAGTGAGTCCAGCTCGATCATCTGTGGGGTCTCCAGATCCATCCTTTTTGGAAGGATGCTCTTTGAGGCTTTCTGGTGTGTGGGAAGCATGTTTCCCCAGTTTGTGTCTTTGTCCTTCCACCCATCTCTGTCTAGAGCTGGTAGTGAGTCCCTGTAATTTTTAACTGCTCTCCACAGTCTCGAATGGGAATCTAAAATTGTTCTTTTTCCCTAGAAAAGCTCAATATATGAGATAGTGTATTTAACTTTTTGGGTTTACAGTTTTCATTGGAAGAAAATTTCTAGATCAGTTTGTGTTTCTACTGAGAATTTTTCAATTTAATGGATATAAACTTCTCAAACACAGAGGAATGCCTATTTTAACTAATGAAAAGAATAAAAATTCGAAAGTAGAACACGTTATTTCTCCTACTTTGTTACACAAAAGGCAGCTCGGAAGTTACGCTTGCTTTTTCGTTAACACATTTTCCTGGAGTTTTTGTAACAATACATAGAGAGCTTAAATCTAATTTCTTGTAAAACTCCATAATACTGTATACGACTGATCTTTGTTTATTGTTTTGACCGTACCACCACGAAGGGACACTTGATTGCGTCCAGTATTTTACTCTTAGAAAGCTTACTCTAGTGAATATAAATGTAAATTTCTAAGATCCAGGTATTAAACATTGAGACATTTAAGCCCTTCTGAACTGAGACAAATTAAGTCAATATTAACGAGTTTTCACATGACTTTGTAAAATTAGGTGAAAATTGTATTTCTTTTACGTTTTAAGCCATTGCTTTAAGCTTTTATTGTCAACAATATCATAAACGAGTGCATAAACTGTTGTGTAGTTTAACTAGTAGGAATCTGAATTCCTGATAATAAATAGACCTTGTCATTTTTATGGCCTCCCAGTGTTTCCCACCCTGATATCATCTACCTCCTGCCTGGAGGTTATTGCTATCTGCATTTGAGCATTGTAATATTTTTACAACCATTATATCTGTTATAGCTTTGACTCCCAGGTCTTTCTTTTTTAAAATAATATTTATTGTTTTTTTAACTGAAGTTTACAGAGCAGTTTAAGTTTCCATTCAACGATTTCTATACAAGTTGTTCAGTGACGTTGGTTACATTCTTCACAATTTGTGAACATTCTCAATATTTCTGTTCTGTTTGTTTCTTTTCCATTAGTCTAGTTTCCCTGCACCTTAAATTCTTATCTTTACTTTAAAATAATTGCTGACTGTTTGTTCTCATATAGCTGATTTTTTAATGGAGCACAGTACTCACAGGTGATACTCTTATTATGTGAGCCAATGTATTATTTAGCTAAAAGGTGACCTTGGGCTGGTTTCGGTTCAAGGTTTAAAGAGTATCTCCGGGTGATATTCTTGGGGAATCCTCCCGTCCCAGCCTGTCCAGTAAATGTGTTTTATTTTTGTTGTTGTTTAGGTTTTGTTTTGGTTAGGAATTTGAGATTCCATTCCACATTTTTCTCCCATTCTATCAGGGTCCATCTATTGTAACCCTGATCAGAAGGATTGGTAGTGGTAGCTAGGTACTCTAGTTCATCTGTTTTCAGGGTAAATGAGGCTGTGGTTCATGTAAACTGTTTGTCCTGTAGACTAATTTCTTCTTTGAGTCTTTGGTTTCCTTCACTGTCTTTTGCTGCAGAGGAGTAGAGAACAATAGTTGTGTCTTAGATGGCAACTAACAAGCTTTTAAGACCCCAGACACTTCTCACCAAACTAGGATATAGAACATAAACTTTGTGAACTACATTATGCCAGTTGACCGAGATGTCCCACAAGACTATGGTCCTAATCCTTCAATCCCAGGAAACCAATCCCTTGGGGTGTTTGGTTACATCTAAAGAAGTATCGCTAAATGTGACACCCAAGTCTTAATCCATAATGTCTATGTTGTTTAGTTTTATCTCTTTTGAGTTTTCTGTAAATTTAATTATTCCTGTGTCTGGGTTCTTCTGTGACTTGTTTTCCTCACAATGCTTTTGAGTTTAATACATCCCGGTGTCTGTAGGTCTAGTCTACCCACCTTGCTATGTATGCAAACTACCATTGTATGAATGGGCCAGAATTTACTTACCCGTTGTAGAGCTTACAGGACTCATGTGGTTCAACTGTAACTCTTGCTCTTGTGAATATTGCTGCTCTTATTCTCTTCATTCTCTTTCCAAACTCTTAAGTGCTCTTGCACAGTCATTCTCCAGTGAGGGAAAATCTCTGAGTTGCACATCATAGCCAAGTTCAAAAATACTGAAAGAGCCGATGTATTTTACAAATTTTCCCTCCCACAAAATATGTATATGTATCTTATTTTTTCCGTCTGCTTATTGGAGCCCCCTGGTGGCTCAATGGTTGAGAACTCTACTGGTAGCCAACAGGTCAGAAGTTCGAAACTACCAGCCACTCCTTGGAAACCCTATGTGGCAGTTCTCCTCTGTCCTGCAGGGCTACTATGAGTTGGAATCGACTCAACAGCAATGGTTTTTTGTTTGTTTTATCTAATAAGTAATCTTTGCTCTTATAAGCAGTATCTGAAACGATATCTTAGTTTACAGTTCAAGTACGTTACGCTACTTCACTACTGAAAAGAGTGTGCATATTTCTCACTTCTTACATCTCTGTGACTTTTTAGGATGACACAGTGGTTAACAGCTCAGCTGCCTACCAAAAGGTCAGCAGTTTGAATCCACCATCCACTCCTTGGAAACCCTATGGGGCATTTCTACTGTATCCTATAAAGTTGCTATGAGTTGGAATCGACTCGATGGCAATGAGTGATTTTGGTTTTTTTTTAATAAACTTTGGAAATTTTCTCCCTAGTATGTAACTTATCTGCTCACTCATTTTTGCTGCCCTTTGATGAATTGTAAATTTTAATATGGTTGAATTTGTCAGTCTTTTCCCTTATGTCTTAATCTTCTTATTTAAGATTTTTTCTCTATTCTGATATCGTAAAATCACTTCCTTATAACTTCTGAAAGTATTATAATTTTACATTCTCATAATTAAAGCTGATCTTCCTGGAATTGATTTTTGCATATGGAGTACATAGGAAATGACTCTTCCAATTAGTTAATTGTTTGATGAAAAACCAACATTTTCTTTCTACTTGATTCTGACTTATGGCGACCACATGTGTTTCGGAGTAGAATTGCAGTCCATACGATTTTCAGTGGCTAATTTATGGGAAGTAGACCACCAGACCTTTCTTTCAACCTCCAGCCTTTTCCTAGTATCTGAGCACTTAATCGTTTACACAGCCCAGGGACTCCAGTTCTTTGATTCTCCCCCAAATATTAAATCGTGAGTGCTTTCTCCCACTGCCCTGCAGAGCTTACAGTGTCAACTTTCTATAGATCTTGATGGGCCTTTTCTGGGATGTTTGTTTATTTGTTTTTGTTCGTCTATTATGTATTCCTATAATGATACCATTCTTTTCTAATATACTATAGCTCATTTGTAAAATAAATGTATAAAAATACAATTATATATATGATATATGTGGACAAGCCCAGGCCTTCTTCCTTGGAACATCTTGGGTATTTGTGGACATTTACAATTACATATACATTTTTAAAGAATTTTTGTGAAGTCCAAAAAAATAACATTGGTTGGAATTTTATGGATGTGCATTGGAAATAATGATCTATTTGTGGAGAACGGTTGTCTAAGAGCGTACACTATCTTTTCATTTATTTCAGTCTATTTGTGGTCATTTAGTAATGTTTTATAATTTTTTCACTAGAATCTGTTATTAACTATACTCCTTTTGATACATTTTACCCTGACTAAAAATATATGAATGTTTTTAAAATTAATTTCTCAACTGCTTGTTGTTAGTGTATATAAAGAAAATATTTAAAATAATCCTTAACATTGATATTTATTTTGTAATCTGGATACTCTTACCACTGTAATCATCGGTACCATCCTTGGGGTTCTACATATACAGTTGTTTAACCTGAAAATATAGATTAGGGTGTTTTTACTTTTTAACATTCTTACTTTACCTTTTTTTCTTTTTCTTTTTTTGGTAAGTATTGGCTACAACCTCTACGATAACATTGAATAGGAACAAAATAATGGATATCCTTGTTTTTTACCTACTTTTGCTAGAAGTGTTGACTTTTTTAGCACATATATTCTTTAATGTACATTTTCTTTATGTCTATTTTCATCATTTCTTATCTGATTATGGCCAGAACCCTCTAACTTATCTCCCAGCTTTTACATTTGCCCCCACACACAGGTTCTTTAAATTCTTTAAGAGCTGTCGTATCATTTTCCATCTCTGATCAAAGGTGTAAAATTGCTTTGCATTTCACTCAGCTGAGAAGCCGGAGTCTTTTCAGAAGCAACCACGTTCCCCACAACATGATATGCCCACTGGCTGCAGTCACGTCTCCAAATTCCTCTACTGTTACTCTCCAGCATCTCACCCTGCTCTGGTCATGCTGCAGTTTGGGTCTCCCTAAAATATACCAGGCACACTCCTACCTGCTGGCCTGTGCTCTGGCATTTTCTTCTCCTGGAACAGTCTATTCTCAGCTGTCCCTTTGGTAATTCCTTTGCATCTTTCAAGTCTTAGCTCTGGTCATTGTTTTCAATGAATTCAGTTATTTAGGCTATGGAGGTCTCGGGGCAAATGACTGCCCCCAGAACTGGAGGGACACATAGGCACTCTGCTCCTGGGCTTCTACCCTGAAATGATTTTCTGTATCTGCCTATATATACTGCCAATTTGGGGGGCAGTCTTTTTCCTATGACCTCAAACCCTTGGTTTCGTATGTTCAGCTTTTTTCTTGGGATGGGAGTGATGACTTCCAAACTCTGTATCAGACCAAAACCTGAAAGTCTTCATTTGTGTTTTGTAAAATTAGTATTGTCTGTTTTCTTTTACTTTCTTGATAGTATTTATTCATGCTGCTTTTATTCTTCCAGTGACCCAGTTTATCTCTTGCTAATGATCTTTTTATTTTGTGAATAACCAGTGTATCTTCCCTTTCCAACCCCTTAAAGTCAGTGGCACTCTTTCACTGCTCTACTCCTATAGTGGGAGTTGTTAAAGTCGAGCATCTGAAATATATATGAGTGTTTGCAAAATCATCACAGAGCACTTACAACCTTTTAGAATTAACAATGTATTTATTTTTCCTTACTAAGCCAGGTTTCACTAGGTTGTGTCTCCTAAAATGATTATTTTGCTTTTCCCTGCACTAATTCACTAAAGATAAATACGCTTCTCTTAGTTCTTATTCCCTGACCATGCTGCATTTTTCATAGAACTTACCACCACATGACATTATATTGTTGTTAGTTGCTCCGTTTGTTATGTAGTGTTGCTATAACAGAAATATAAGGGGGTGGCTTTAACAAACAGAAGTTTATTCTTTCACGGTTTAGGAGGCTAGAAGTCTGAATTGAGGGCACAAGCTCCAGGGGAAGGCTTTCTGTCTCTGTGGACTCTGGGGGAAGGTCATTGTCATCAGTCTTACCCTGGTCTAGGAGCTTATCAGTGTAGGTACCTCAGGTCCAAAGGAGGTGCTGCGCTCCTAGCTCTTCTTGCTTGGTGGCAGGAGGTACCCCCACCCCCCCAGCTCGCTTCTCTCTTTTATTTCTCAAAAGAGATTGAAGATACAACCTAATCCTATAGATTTCGTCCTGCTTCATTAAGATAACTGCCTCTAATCCTATCATTAACATCTTAGGGGTTAGGATTTACAACACATAGGTAATTACATGAGATCACAAAATGGAGGACAGCCACACAATACTAGGAATCATGGCCTAGCCAAGTTGACACACATTTTTTGGAGACAAGATTCCATCTGTAACAGTTGCTGTGGAGTCAATTCTGACTCATAGTGATCCCATGTGTGCAGAGCTCCATAGGATTTTCAAGGCTCTGGTCTGTCAGAGCAGATTGCCAGACCTGTCTTCCAAGGAACCTCTGAGTGGCTTTGAACCACCAGCCTTTTGACTAGCAGTCAAACGCTTACTACTTGTGTCACCCAGGTAACTCGAGATATTTCGTTTATTTCCTCCCCATACCCAAGGAAGTTACAATCCGTGTGTATCTGGATATTTCTGGTTTGTTCAGTGCTGTATCTGCCTGTGTGAAGTAGGCTCTGTGTCAATATTACCTAAATAGTTTTAATAAATGACAGAGCTAGATGTAAGGGTGTGGTGCATTGAATCACTTAATATGGACCTTCTAACCATAGTCTTTGTAACTCCAAGTGATTGGGTGGGGCCATGTTAATAAGGTATATGGAACCCTAATGAGGGGATTGGTCAGCTTTGCCATCCTGCTACACTTAAAATGAGCCATACCAGAGGTGCAAAGAGAGGACCTCTCCACCACCGAAGAAGTAGAAGCAGGAGTGGAACATGTCCTTTAGACCTGGGATCCCTGTGCTGAGACTATCCTAGACTCAGGAGACAGAAAGAGTAACACCAAAGATGGTAAGATGGTGAGAAGCAGCAGCAGATGAATGACAACAGCAGAGGCAGCAAAATCAATAGACTGGCAGGAGATCAGCATGGTGGGCTTGCTAGCCTACAGAGCGAGACAGCTGAGTGCCTCCAGGCAGGAGGCTTCCAGGCAGAGTAGGGTGCCTCCGGGCACTTGGTGGAGCTAGGTTTGCTGACCCAGAAAGCTAGAGCTGAGTGTCTTCAGGCCTAGGCTTTTGGGCAGACTGAGGTAGCTCAGGGAACTTACTGGAAGAGCTAAAGGGGCTTTGTAACACTTGCCCGAGCAGGGCAGAGGACAAGGTGCCACAGAGAAGTGGGCTGGCGGGCACAGCTGAGAAGAGACTGTCATGATGGAAGAACTGTATCCTGAGCCTTCCTGAGCCTGAATTGTAACCAGTTACGTCCCTAATAAACCCCGTAATCTTGAGTATCTTGTGAGTTCCGTGTGGCCATTGCAGTGAATTACGAAACTCAGAAGAGAAGTAGAGAATACCCTGGGAGGGATGGTTGGTATCAGAATTGGCATAGATGGTGGAAAGAGGAGGCATGTCTGACCTCTGCCTCATAGGAATCAGCCTTGGGCTGTTCTTGATTCTCATTCCCTCTTGTGAAGGTGTAGAAGGACAGACACTGCTTCTGCTGCACCATTATTACAAAGGGTCTGAAGAGAAGTAGTCTTGCCTGAGACACTGGGCTTTGCCAGGAGAAGGAGATCCATGTTGTCTGAATTGCATAGGATGTTTCCTTCGTCTCCTGTTCCCACTACCCTGTGGGCTCTAGACCATCCAAGTAATTGAGGATTAACAGCCAGAATAACAAGAAAACTGTAGGCATATGCACAGAAGTGTCGTTGTCAGGAATTTAGGCTTTGGCATATTGGCCTGCATTCTGACCCTGGCTCAGCAGCATACCATTTGGTTAACATTGAGCAAGTGATTAGTTGTAACTTTCCATGCTATAACTCATTTGAAGCAATATCTGCTTAGGAGATGCATGAGGAATAATGAACTAGTGTGCTGAAAACTTTTTGCATATCCCTTCAAATATTGTCGTTGCTCCATAAATGCAACATTTTATCATGAATATGTTGTAGGAATGGAAGTTAGTGTTTTTGATGGCTTTAAAATATGTGACCTGCTGCACGGCAGTGGAGGAGAGTTTTGACTATGGCACTGGATCAAAGATTGCTCTGATGCTGTCATACCAGGATTGATTAGGAGTGACCTTGACAGCTCACTTCACCCCATAGACTATCTGTTCTACAGTTGTTCAGCTGTTCAGTAAAATTGTAACATCAGAAGTGCCTTTTGTGTCCTCACTACATGTGGGGAGCTAAAGGGTTGATACTATTTCACAGAGGCCAGTCCTGCAGCCCAGACGATGCCAGTGGTCAGGGTTCAGGTGGTCATATTCGTGTGCCTTCCAAGGGCTACAAATTTGAGAATATTTTGGAGTGGAGCATCCACAGGTTTGCTGTGTAAGTCTCTCTTTCCTAGGGTGCACAAGTAGTGTAACAGCTAAATCCTCCACACATCAGTGAACTTACTAGAAAATGTGGATCTTAACCTCTTGTTCATGGTCAGCAAAGATAAGGACATGCTATTCTGATTCTTTAAAGATGGGGCTCTTTGTCATCTTGTGACATTATTGTGTGTTTGTGTGGGTGCCTGGGTGTCTGTTGAAGGGGAGAGTCATAATTGCTGTACAGTAGCTTTGGGTCTCAGAGTTTGAAAATTGTGATGATATTGAGATTCTCTTGTTTTCTGTCTCTCAGCTGATTTCCATTTACCTTTGAATACCCTTGCCTGTCTCCATGAAGGGACAGAGGGCATGCCAGTGCCCCTGCAGACTTATTGAAAAGTAGGTGGGAGACATGTAAAAATTTGCAATTGCTCAAAATAATAATTTCATTTCAACAGATAGACCCGTCAGCCCCTGATCACTTGGAGTTCTTTAAGAAAATATGACAAGCTCAGGGCCTTGGGTTGGGTTGCCCCTTTGTGCAGGCCACTGGGCCCCCCATGGCTGGTGAGGGGCAAAAGGAAAAACTGCCAGTCCTGCAGTGCTCCCCATTTGTTAACATTTCATCCTGCTTTCACTCTGTTTCATGTTTTGTTAAATATTCTCCTGGGTCCTGTGCAAGGAGGTGAATTTTTTTTTCAACAAGAAAGGCATGACCTGAGTGTGGAAATAGGGCTTTCACTGTAGAGGATTTCTCCAGTGAGAAATGCTATGTGTTCTGATTGTTCTAGACCATAAAGGTAGAGAGGAATGAGACTACAACTGGTCACAGTCAGACTATGGAGAGATAAGTTCATTGCCTTGGAAGGATTAAGTCTGTTATGATGCAGTCCATGAGGAAGTGAATGTAGACAGTGAAGGGATGAGGCTGATGGCTAACCCCTAGAGTAGACCTTAGTAGAACACAAAACTTGTGTCAAATCCCCATGAAATCTCAGTTCCCAAGGACTGTCAGCCTCACCTTTCCTTTCAGACACACTGGAGTATGTGGTACCTTGCTGAAGCAGAATATGTGGGAATTTTTAGGACTCAGTGGCTGTTGAGGATGTGGCTGTGGACTTTACTCAGGAAGAGTGGGCATTGCTGGATCTTTCTCAGAGGCAACTCTACAGAGACGTGATGATGGAAATCTTCAGAAGCCTGGCCTCAGTAGGTATGGATAAAAAAAAATCCCAAATCCTTTACCGTGGAGTCAATTCCCACTCATAGCGACTTATGGGATAGAGTAGAACTGCCCCATAGGGTTTCCAAGGAGTGCCTGGTGGATTTAAACTCCGACCTTTTGGTTAGCAGCCATAGCTCTTCATTGTTTGGTTTTTTAAGTTTTTTTTGTGATCAGATATGTCATTCCCATTGATGTTACTCCACTCTGTGGGCTAAGGAATGGGAAAACATTGTTAAATAAGACAAGTATGGTCATTTGCTCTTTGGAACATGCATATCTTGGTTTCCCATGAATACAGAGGTCTGTGTATTAAACCGACTTCTCATTTCAATTGTGATTAAAAGCCTTAAGGCTCTTTAAATGTTGTAAATGTGAGTGTTGTCTTCAGGGGTTTCTTTGGTACACAGAGAGAATATTTTTGGACCATGCAAAGAGTCTTTGTTTATTACAAATTTGACATGATTATTTTGCTACAAATGAATTCACACCTGCCCATCACCAGAGACCCTGAGGACCAAAGTATTGGCCCGGTGTCAGGGAAATGTTTATTGCTCCTCCCTGTCTTCCCTAATAGTATGTCTTTCTCCATGAATACCACATCAGCTATACCCCTTTGTTCTCCCAGAGTAGAAAGAGAAAGACCTGAGGAGAGTGCAGATAGCACTTGTCCAGGATCTCTGTGTCAGAGCCACTGGGAGGCAAGAATCGTTTGAAGGACTGGGCCTGCATGGAGGGAATGAGATTTGAAAAAATCAATTAGAAAAAGTCTCTTTGGTTTAGGGGTGTGTGCTTCACAGATACCTGAGCTTGCTTTTCTGACTTTGATCAATCCTAACACGCGTGGTTCATGGAGAAAGACTGTCCCCTTTTCCTCTCTTAATGTTCCAGGTGCATTGTGTCCAATATCTTTCTACTTTGTTCTTCTAATTACACCCTATTTATGTTACCATCACTTTCAGTCTTAATGGAAGTATTTCCTAGCAAATTGTTTTCTCAACATTGCCAAAGTATTTAAACAGCAAAATGCATCAGAAGCTTTCTTTGTTCACAGCTACATTTTCTCTCTGAGTATTTTCTCTCCTTTTTGTTTCATGTTGTGAACCTCACCTTAAATCACTGGGTCAGGTTCTCGAAACCTTATTGATGGAGAAAGGCTATCCACTGAAAATATAATGGTACGATTCATGAAAAATGATACCTGGTCCTCGATGGTAGGAGAAATCTGCGAATTGCCGGTCACTGAAGATCAGGATAACAATCAGAAAACACATGTGAGGTGAGTGGCAGTTATGGGAGAGACAGCAGTGCTTCATGAGAGAATCTTAAGAAGGTATAATGACCTTAAAATATATTTATATACCTAAGGAGCCCAGGTGGTACAAATGGTTAAGCACTTGATCTCTAACTGAAAGATTGCAATTCAAACCTATCCACGGGCTCCATGGGAGAAACAACTGGCGATCTGCTTCCGTAATAATTACAGCCAAGAAAAGTCTATGGGCCAGTTCTCCTCTGTCCTATGGGATCACTGTGAACTGGAATTAACAGCACTTAACAAATGTACACACCCACATATATACATATGCGTGTACACACACACACGCTATATATAGAAATCTATTGCTGTTGACTCTATTCTGACTCTTCGCGACTCTGTAGGATACTGTAGAACTGCTGCATAGGGCTTCCAAGGCTGTAATCTTTAAGGAAGGGGATTACCATATCTTCCACGTAGCCTCTTGTGGGTTCAAACTGCTGACTTTTCGGTTAGTAGCCAAGTGCTTAACCACTGCACCAGCAGGGTTCCTGGGTCTTTATGCATATATATATGTATGTATGTATGCATGTGTGTACACACACACACACACCTCACTTTTCAACATGGTTAGGTTCAAAAGATCAGATAGTTTTGCAAAAATGGGCATTATGTGAAAATGAATTTTTTGTTTCTGTTTTCAGACCATCCATTTGTCCAGTTTTTATTTAGAAAATATGATCATAGACATAACAGCTAAGATTTACTAAAGTACTCATTGCTGTGATGAGTCATTTATGAGTTATTCCTCTATGAGTAAGAATGCTTGGAGGAGTCAAAGATGGATAAAGCCAGGCTGTATGACTGGAGGGCCCACGGCTTAACCACTTCACCTTCCTCCTATGCTGGGTCAGAGCTCCCTTTGTGGCACTGCCTCCAGGGCTCCAGTCCCACCCCTACAAGCCCTGCATTCCAGATCCCAGAGCCTACTCTGCTCTCCAAGCCTGGCGAGTAACCAAGGCTTGGGGATTTTGCAAGGGAGCTGTGAGCCTGGCTATGCAACCAGCCCCACAGAGGTGGAGGCTTCAGGCATAGTTCACCTCACTTTGGGATCTCATTAAACTCGAAAGCTTTTCTTCCAAACACCCTCTCTATTGCACTTTATTTCCTGCCTTTCCACCCCACAGCAGTTTTGAGTTGCAGGGCCTCAGGTAGCAAAGGAGATAGGAACCCAGAAGAGGTGCCTGCTGGATGAGCACTGCCTGTGTGTCTACCTAGAGGCGGTGGTCACAGAGGAGCCCAGCCCTGCCCAGGAGCTAGATGTGGCAACGCTGTCAGCAGGAGGGACTGGAGGGTGTGAGGTAGTGCTTCCCAGGTTCTCTGAGGCCACTCTGAGACCCTTCTCATTAATGTGCAAAATAATCAGATTTTTTTCTGTTGTCGCAAATGGGAAATGTCAGATAATGTTAGTTGATAAGTAAGGAGTAAGGATGTCTGTGTGTGTGTGTGTGTGTGTGCACGTGCATCTCAAACTTGTTGGTGGCTTGTCTATTCTGACTCTTGGCAGTGCCTCTGGGTGGGTTTGAAGCACCAGCGTTTTGGTCAGATGGAGTCACTAAGCTGGAATCAACAGCACTTAACAAGAACAATTATATATATACGTATACACACGGACACATATATGGCAGTACAAACTTGTGCCATCCAGTTATATGCGTATATAAAACCTGCTCTAATGTGTGTTCACAGAATTTCTACAGGACAATATTTTCATAAATTGAAGTGAGATTTAATATTTGAAACATTCTACTTAAATACAATTGTTAGAGAGCACCACATTTTAGAAACAATATAAGGGTAGCATTTCTGCTAAATGAGTTAATCTATGAAACAGACACTTAATAGAGCAAAAAAATACTTGTTTAATGTGTATGGTAATGGTGAAATGGTAAATTTGTATCCAACAGCATGCTGCCTATTTTTAACAGAAGGCATTGGTTAGAGAACCTCTGTGAAAATAATGAAGACAATGAGATTTTCAGCCAGATTCCAAATCTTCCTGTGCTGAAAAGAACTCCTATGCAAGCATATCCTTCTGAATGTCTTGAGTATGGAAAATCCTTGATGAATCATTCATCACTTAAGCATCATATCACATCTCACTCTGGATGCAGCGCCTATCAGTGTAAGGAATGTGGAGAAGCCTGTAGTCCCTCTTACCTCAGCACTGTTGCGGGAACTTTTACTGGAGAGAAATCCTACGAATGTAAGCAATGCAGAAAAGACTTTTGTCATTCTTCAAACCTCACTATACATAAGAGAATTCATGGTGGAGAGAGGCTTTATGTTTGTAAGGAATGTGGGAAAGCCTTTCGTCACTCCTCATACCTCACTATACATACGAGAACTCACAGTGGTGAGAGACCTTATGAATGTAAGGAATGTAGCAAAACCTTTAGTTTGTCCTCACACCTCAGCAGACATATGAGAACTCACAGTGGAGAGAGACCTTATGAATGTAAGCAATGTGGCAAAGCCTTTCATCAGTCCTCACACCTCAGCAGACATATGAGAACTCATAGTGGAGAGAGACTTTATGAATGTAAGCAATGCAGCAAAGCCTATAGTTCCTCAGACTTCACCAGACATATGAAAACTCACTGTGGAGAGAGACCTTATAAAGGTATGGAATGTGGCAAAACCTTCCGTTACTATTCAAGCCACACTATACTTTTAAGAACTCATAGTGATGAGAGGCCTTATGAATGTAAGGAATGTGGTAAAGCCTTTAGTCAGTTCTCATACCTCACTTTACATATAAGAACTCACACTGGTGAGAGGCCTTATGAATGTAAGGAATGTGGCAAAGCCTACAGTCGCTCCTCAAACCTCACTGAACATATGAGAACTCACTGTGGAGAGAGACCTTATAAATGTTCTCAATGTGGCAAAACCTTCCGTCAGTCCTCACACCTCTCTGTTCATATGAGAACTCACAGTGGTGAGAGGGCTTATGAATGTAAGGAATGTGGCAAAGCCTTTATTTTGTCCTCACACCTCACCAGACATATGACAACTCACAGTGGAGAGAGACCTTATGTATGTAAGCAATGTGGCAAAGCCTTTCATCAGTCCTCACATCTCAGCAGACATATGAGAACTCACAGTGGAGAGAGACCTTATGAATGTAAGCAATGTGGCAAAGCCTTTCATCAGTCCTCACCCCTCACCAGACATATGAGAACTCACAGTGGAGAGAGACCTTATGAATGTAAGCAATGCGGCAAAGCCTATAGTTGCTCCTCAAACCTCACCAGACATATGAGAACTCACTGTGGAGACAGACCTTATAAATGTATGGAATGTGGCAAAACCTTCTGTTACTACTCAAGCCACACTATACATTTAAGAACTCACAGTGGTGAGAAGCCTTATGAATGTAAGGAATGTGGTAAAGCCTTTAGTCAGTTCTCGTACCTCACTTTACATAAAAGAACTCACACTGGTGAAAGGCCTTATGAATGTAAGGAATGTTTCAAAGCCTATAGTCGCTCCTCAAACCTTAGTGAACATATGAAAACTCACTGTGGAGAGAGACCTTATAAATGTATGCAGTGTGGCAAAACCTTTCATCATTCCTCACACCTCTCTGCTCATATGAGAACTCACAGTGGTGAAAGGCCTTATGAATGTAAGGAATGTGGCAAAGCCTTTCGTCGGTCCTCACACCTCACTTCACATATACGAATTCACAGTGGTGAGAGGCCTTATGAATGTAAGGAATGTGGCAAAGCCTTTAGTGAGTCTTCAAACCTCAGTGCACATATTAAAACTCACTGTGGAGAAAGACCTTATAAATGTACGCAATGTGGCAAAACTTTTCGTCAGTCCTCATACCTCACTGCTCATATGAGAACTCACAGTGGTGAGAGGCCTTAGGACTGTAAGGAACGTGGCAAAGCCTTTAATCAGTCGTCACTACTCATTACACATGAAAGAACTCACAGTGGTGAGAGGCCTTCTGAATGTAAGTAATGCAGCAAAGCCTTTTGTCAGTCCTCAAACCTCACTAGACATACAGGAATTCACAGTGGAGAGAGGCCTGCAGTAAGAAATGTGGGAAAGCCTTTAGTTAGTCTTCAGTGCTTGCTGAAGATAAGTACCCGCACAGTGGGAGAGACTTCATGAATGTAAAGAAAGTAGGAAAGCATTTAGTTATTTCTTATCCCTCATTGAGTACAAAAAATATCACCCTGGAGAGAAACATTTGAATATATGGAATGTGGGAAATTCTTTTGTGATTCCTCAAACCTCACTAATCATAAAAATTTATGGCTTAGAGAGGCTTTATAAATGTAAGAAGTTTGTCCGTGTATATGAATTATTATGATGAAACAACCAATACTTAATTGTAGACATTCACTTCACCCTTTAAGCTCCTACAAATAAGGTCAGTTTCCTACCAGAACAACCCAGATCTTCATTGTTTCTCACAACAAATGAAAATTTCTCCAGTTGTCCATAAATTATCTATTATGGTTGTTGGGTTTTTTGAAGTTAGGATCCAAACCATATTTCCATGTTGCCTTTTTATTTCTACATCTTTTTGATCGGTCTTGCACAGAATATTTTTCTGCTTGTCTTGTAAAATGTTAAAATGTTCAGCATTCTGATACAGTCAAACCTGTGACAGCCGAAACCTGTGGAAGTCAGAAATGTCAGAGAAGAAAAACTCACGGGTTGTTTATGATCTAGGATTCTTAATAGAGAGCAAAAGAAAAGTGGTAAGCATCCAATCAAAAGTGGAAAAATGCAAGACCTGGTGAAACAGGGCACTCCCATCGCATTCCAGCTCTCACAGGTTTTACTGTATTTGTTTTATTAAGATTTTATTTACCTTGTGTTCTGTATTTTTTGTAACAGACATTGAGTCTTGCAGAGTTCTAATAGAAACGTAATGCATGTCAAAGACGTACTTTAAAATATTTTAGTATCTGTATTAGACATTTAAAAATGTAAATGTGAAAGTTTTAATAAAAATCTTATTTAACCCAATATGTCCATTTATTATCAAGGTAAAATTATATATGAAATTAACTAAAGTAATCAATATAAATTTCTTTATGAGACATTTTACGTTTCCTTTTTTTACTCCATCTTCCAGAATCCAGAATGAGCATGTTTCATGAATTTTATTGTTGAAAAGTAGGCTCACAATCACGGGTTACTCCAAGCATACTTTTCCAATAATTGAGTCAAATTTATTTTTATATTTAAATTAACAAAAATTAAAGTTTATTCAATTTCTTAGTTTCACCAACCACATAAATTATCGACACAACGTTATTAGTGTTTGTATGTAAAAGAAGTCCCTGGAACAGTTTGTACTTTCCTGTTCCATATCTGAAATCAACTTTTTCTCCCCAAACCTGTGGTTCCTTTTAAAAACCAAGGTGTGTGCAATACATGGGCTTGGTGATAAACCAAAATCTGTTACCACTGAGTCAGTTTTATCTCGGTCTGTCAGTGAGCATGTAAAGTACATAATTTCTTACATCATAAGTTTATTGTGTTATTCATAATACAAATTTAAGGTTTTATATGTGTATATATATACTTATATATATTATATTTATATGTATATATAAATGTATACATAGATACTTATATAAATATAAATAAATACATATGTATATATACACTTATATAAATATATATTTAAATTTAAGATTTTGAGTATATATATATATACACATGTATAAGAAATGGTGCTGGACAATGTTAAATATACAAATCGGTGCCAGATAATGTTAAGTAGGCAAACTAGACTTTATTCAGCGTGTTGCGTTAGGAAAGACACCTCAGGATAAGTCTGAGTTCAAATCTAAAGGGTAAGGTGAGGCAAGAGGTTTTTTTATGAGTTCTGAGTGTCATAGGGCACTGGAAACTTACTAATTTGAAGGTGGAAAGCAAAAATCAAGCAGGAAGATGGGTTTTAAGCAAGAGATCTATTGGTTTTTAGAAATGTTTGCTCACAGCTGCTTTATGAGGCTGAAGCAAGGAACGTTCATGAGGTAAATGTAAATGGGCAAATCTTGTCACTTTCTGTTATTTTATATTTGCATCTCTTTTCCCTTTTAATAAAACTTTTGGTTCCTAATTTTCAAATACTTTCAGTGTCAATACTAATAGAACTGACTAAAAAACTTATTTTGTGAAGTACTGAGTTTTTCACCTTTGTTTTTGTACTTACTGGTTATACATTTACGTTAAGGATATTAACACAAGATTACTGTGCTTAAACATTGGCTTGAGCACAAACTCTCTTGTGCCTGGTTATGTGATCAGTTTGATATTGACATTGTTTGCTGCTATCGAGTTGACTCCAGCTCATGGTGACCTTATTTATGTTGTTGTGTGCCATGGAGTCGATTCCAATTCTTAGCTACTCCATGTTATGAGTAGAATTGCCCCATAGGATTTGCTTGGCTGTAATCTTTTCAGAAGCAGTTTGCAAGGCTTTCTCCCATGGAGCTGATGGGTGGGTTTGAACTGTCAACCATTTGGTTAGTAGCCAAGTGCTAAACTATTGTGCCTCCAGGGCTCCTTGGTCTCCAACATAACAGAAGAAAATGTTGCCCAGTTTGTGTACCATCTTCATGGTCATTGGTATGTTTGAGTAGTGCCTTCCACCCCACGGGGCTCATCTTTCAGCACTATATCAGTGTTCTGTTGTGATCCATAAGGTTTTTGTTTACTGATTTTCTAAAGTAGATTGCCAGGTCTTTCTTCCTAGGCTGTTGAAGTTGGTAAGCTCCACTAATAAGTGTCCACCATGGGTGACCCTGCTGGTATTTGAAATAGTGGTGGTGTAGATTCCTGAATCAGCAAAATGCCAGCCACCACAGTATGTCAAACTCACAAATGAACAGTGACAGTTGAATATGTTATTTTACTTCTGTTTACATTCAATTTTAAGGTTTGCTTTCATTTTAAAGTATTTCTTTAACATATAAAACTTTCACACGATTCAAAACTGAAGATTATATGAAAACATTCAGTAGGTTGACTACCTCCTATAGCATCTGTGTTCTGTTAGTATCACCACCAGTTCCTAACCATTTCCATTTTGTTTCCTGTGTGAACTTCTAGTGTTTCTCAGAAAGATCCCTCCCCCAGAACACATAAATACATACACGAATGTATGTTGGTTATTTATCATGTTTTCACATAAATGTATTTTTTCCCACTTAATATATACTGGACATCAGTCTCAGTTCATAGTATAGAGGAGGCGAAGGCATAGATATTAGCAAAGACTGCACATGTGCAGTAGAGCTCAGGAGGGCTGGTGGGCACTTCTGTCTCAGAATGTCCTTGATCAGTGTTGTGTGCTGTTGAGTCCATTCTAACTCTGTGACCGTATAGGACATATAGAACTGCACCATAGGGTTTCCTAGGCTGTAATCTGCAAGACCAGATCTCCAGGTCTTTTCTCCTGTAGCATTAGGTGGATTCTAACCACTGACCTTTCAGTGAGCAGCAAAGTGCTTAATAACCACTATGCCACTGGGGCTCCTTCCTTGGCTAATAACCATGTGTAAATATCCTGATAGTTCACCTAACAGTATCTTGTTAAGCAGTGCTCATCAAATGGTGAAGAAAACAAACCCCTTAAAGTCTTTAATATTTCTTTTTGCATGTAGATGGAAAATTTTCAGTTTTAAACATATGGTTCAAATGTTTAATATCAGCGATACAAGTCCTAGCCATTTAAAGCCCTTCTGTTTATGGACAAGTATTTTATGGAGCCTAGTCTCTGAAGGAACCCTGGTGGCACAGTGTTAAAGCACTCAGCTGCTAACTGAAAGGTCAATGGTAGGAACTCACCAGCTGCTGTGTGGGAGAAACATGTCACAGCCTTGAACAACTAGATGTCATCTGGAAAAAAACTGAAAAAAGACCCATGCCTCACACCATGCACAAAAACTAACTCAAAATAGATCAAAGACTTAAATATAAAATCAAAAACGATGAAGATCATGGAAGAAAAAATAGGGACAACGCTAGGAGCCCTAATACATGGCATAAACACAATACGAACCATAAAAACAATGCAAAAGCACCAGAAGAGAGACTAGATAAATGGGAGCTCTGAAAAATCAAACACGCTTATCAAAAGACTTCACCGAAAGAAACAAAATACAACCTACAGACTGCGAAAAAAAATTTGGCTATGACAAATCAGATCAGCATCTAATCTCTGAAATCTATAAGATACTGCAAAACCTCAACAACAAAAGGACAAATAACCCAATTAAAAAATGAGCAAAGAATATGAACATACACTTCACCAAAAAAGATATTCAAGCAGCTAACAGACACATGAAGAAATGCTCATGGTCATTAGCTATTAGAGAAATGCAGATCAAAACTACAGTGAGATATATCACGGCAACAAGGCTAGCATTAGTCCAGAAAACACAAAATAATAAATGCTGGAGAGGTTGTGGAGAGACTGAAACACTTATACACTGTTGGTGGGAATGTAAAATGGTACAACCACTTTGGAAATCGATTTGGTGCTTTCTTAAAAAGCTAGAAATAGAAGTACCATGTGATCCAGCTATCCTGATCCTTGGAATATATCCTAGAGAAATAAGAGCCATCACACGAATAGATACATACACACCCATGTTCATTTCAGCACTGTTCACAATGGCAAAAAGATTGAAATAACCTAGGTGCCCATCAACAGACTAATGGATAAATGAATTATGGTATATCCACACAATGGAA